GTCATAAAACCAGCTTCTAGTTTTATCAGTTCAGTTTTTGCTTACTTTAAATTTTATCAATCTCTCCTTTGATTTTGAGGAGTTCCAATTTGGTGTTTAATTGGGAATTTTTATTTTATTATTATTTTTTTTAAATTACAGGTCCAATGCTTTGATTTGTTCTTTCTTTCTTTCTTTTTTTTTTTTATGATGTAAGCATTTAAAGGTACAAATTTTCCCCTAAGTATTGCTTTGGCTGTATAACACAAATTTTGTTTTGTTGTCTCGTTTTTGGCATTATCTTTAATGAAATATTGACTGTTTCTATGATTTATTCTTTGACCCACTCATTCTTTAGAATTTAATTATTATTTAGTTTTCAATTAGTTTTTAATCAATGCTTCCAAGGACTTTTACCCAATATAACTTTTTATTGCATTATGATCTGAAAAGGGTGATTTTAATATTTCTCCTTTTCTGCTTTATTTTGAGGTTTTTATGCCCTAATAACATGATCAGTTTTTATGAAGGTACCTTGTATAGCTGATAAAAATGTATGCTCCTTTCTATTCCTATTCAGTTTTCTTCAGTGGTCTATCATATCTAATTTTCAAAAATTCTAACCACTTCCTTAACTTCTTTCTTGTTTATTTTATGATTAGATAGATCTAGTTCTGAGAAGGTAAAGTTGAGGTCCCCTACTAGTAACTGTAATAATTTTAAGCATCAACTTACTAATGTACCTAGCTGAACATTATGGGAAGAATTGAAGGTTGGTGTCTCTGACTCTCCACTTCCCCCTGGCCCCAATTTTTCCTTTTATCTCTGTCATAAGATTCCCCTAGGGGAATATAATTCAGTGTTATAGCAAGAGACTGAATTGGAAGTCAAAGAACATGAACAGGAGGCCCAATTTGCTACAAATTTAGGGGGTTGTCTTACACAAGTCACTTTTCCTCCATTTCTTTATCAGCAGAAATAAAAGTATTGGACCAGATTGTCAGTAAGATTTCTTCTAGTCATAATACTATGCATGTACAATATGACAGTGTTTTACATGAGAAACAGAGCAGTGTAGACACAATAGTATGAGACTTGGAGTTGAACCTTCTGAGTTCAAGTCCTGGTTCTGTCACTTCCTCATTTCTTTACCCATTAACAAGTCATTTCATCTTTCTGGGACTCTTTTTAATCATAAAAAATGAGGAGGTTGTAAGAGATGATCTCTAAGGAGACTTCCATCTTAAACAGTGTTATGATTTTATGATAAGCAGGCGTAACTTCTGTCAAAATATGACTCAGAAGAATAGGTTTAATCATTTTATTGTAGTTATAAAACCATAAGAGTAAAATGTCATTTATATAAATATATGCATATCTGTGTAAAATCACAAAAAATCAGATTAAATTTAAGAAATGGGAATAAAGAAACATCACAAGATCTTAGATATAAAACTAAAGGGCCCTTAGTGGCAGAAATATCCAGTTTTTCATTTGAAATGTAAAAAAAAAACTTGAACACTGAATAAAATACTTTGCTGTTGAAATTGTAAGATATTGTAATTAATTTCAACTCATGGGTGATGTTCCAAAAAGGTTTGCTCATCAAGAAGGGCATATTTATCATTAAGAATAAGTTAACATGTAATATTTAGTCAAATTAATGAATTTATGTAGGTTGCACTCAGTAGCTGAACATCTTTTTTTTAGTAGAATTTCTTATATGCACACACACATCAACACATCACTCAGTAGTGATTATAAGTTAATGACACAGACTTTGAAAAACATACCAAAATTTATTTGTATATCCAAAATGAATGCTGTATTTGAAAGAGCATAAGAATTGAATTCTAATCATAGATTTAGAACTGAACAGGACCTTAGAGGTCATCTAATCCAAATTTCTTATATGACATAGGAGAGTGAGAAAAGTAACATGAGTTACTTAAGGTTACACAGGTGTGGTAGGTGATAGAACTGGAATTTAAATCCAGGCACTCTGGGTCTGTCCACTATACCAGACTGCCTGCCTATTCAACTTGAGATGCTATTGCATTGATGCTTCTCTCTCTTAGAACAAGATTTGATGATGATTGGAGTCAATCTTTATGAGTTGCCTTCAGAGCTTCTATTACCTTCCTTTGAATAATCTCACTGGTTACAGTTATTTAACATTTGAGAGTCTATTTTATACTGATCCAAAAGTCATTTGGATCCATGATTAGTAAAAATAGTAATGGGAATGGTTTTCTTATGTACTTACACACCACCTGACTTCAAAGGTAATTGTCAAAAGTTTCCAACATGGTTTGAACAGTGCACCCATTACTGAGATTAGTGCACATCTTTTTATTATGACAGTTTTGAAAAAGACCATTCTTGTGAAATTCTGGTGTAGAATGTAAGCTTCTTGAGGGCAGGAACAGTTTTATGTTTGTCTTTGTCTCTCTGCCACTTAATGCGGTTCCTCAACCAAGGTTAGTATGTAATAATATTTGTTGAAATTAATTGTTGGATAATTTATTTATTCCTTCTTGGTCACCATTTGGGTATACAGTATTTTAGATAACTTGATGAAGATTTTCCAATCTTCTATCGCCATGCATATCTTAGTTTTCCTTTTACAACCTGGATGTCATTGTTAAACCTGAAAAACAAACTAAACAAGAATTGAAAATGGAGATGAATTTGTTCTCTAGATTATCCCAGAACTTGGGTGGTGGTCTCCACTTTGCATCTGATGGATGCTCGTTCTCTCCCCTCTGGGATTGATGTGTTACACTTGACTGGCAATGCTAGATCTTTTTCCCCTCTGGAAAGTTACTTGATTATCAGCACATCTCTAAAGACATAATCATGATATAATAAAGATAATTATGTAAATTGTAATCTATCTCCTATTTCCCTGGAAAAATCTTAATGAAATATTTTTATATTGATTGTAAGTGCTCTGACTTGGGAGATGTAACAAGCAATCTCAGGGAAATGTATTCTTTTTTTAGTGTGTGCTTTGTTGAAGTCCAGTGGTTAAGTTTAGGGTAGGTATTCAAAAGAAAATAGTTTTCTAGCATCGCCCAGGGTAAATGTTTCCTGTAGTTTAACTAAACACTTTGAGGTATTAAAAATGGAGAGGGGAAAAGAATTCAACAGGGATTTTAATATTTCAGTTCAAGAAATGATTGTACAAACTAGAAAAGAAATTCTTAGGTGTTCATGCCACTGTGGGATTTAAAGGGCCATGGAATGCCCAGACACATCTGCAGAATTTTCTTACCTTTTAATAGGATCAGAAATAAGAATGGACCCCCCACAGCCCTTTGCACTACTTGTTGCATATTTGTTAACATTGACACTTTATGCATCCATGTTAGCTCCTTTCCTCACTCTTACTCCTTCCTCACGTCAACCTTTTTTTCAGGAGGAAATGATGTAGGAAAAAGTTTTCCTCCTCGCTCTTCTCTCCATCTAGGGCACTTGGATGAGCTCAAGCCACTGAAAGCATGGGCAGACCATGGTCTGTGCTGACAGATTACCTGCAAGGAAAATTAGCAGCATTATTGCTGTCCCCTTTCTTCCCTTTTGATGGAGGTTGGCAGTGAGAATTGTCAAAGGATACAGTCATATTTGTTGCTGTGCTTTCATTTATGCAGAAGAAAATATGGTATTACATAATAAATCTGTGCCTTTATATGCTTTTAAAAGGGTGTGTTACATTTACTATTCTGTATTTGTTTTTATTTTTTATGGGGAAGAATAAAGCCCTGCATTTTTGAGGTAGAAGAAACACCAAGAATATTTCAGATTTTCTAATAGGAAGCATTTTATATTGTAGCATATATAGGTGCCAAATGACTTTTGAATCAGATCCTCCAACATTGGTGATTGCATAAGAAGAGGATTTGTTAAGAGTTCTTTGTAAAGAATGATTTGTTAATCATTAACATGTAGGATTTGAGTTGTAAGGAACCTCAGAGGTCATCTAGTATACCCTTCCATTTGAGAAAATAAGGCCCTAGATGGTGACTTGCCCAAGGTTACCCAGGAAGTAAGTGTAATTTAATTCACTATTCGACTGTCATCCACCATGGGAGGCACTGTAGTGGTATACAAAGAAATGTGACCATGGGGTGCACTAAAGGTCTTGGAAGTAAGGGAATTCAGTTCAAGTCCCTGCTTTCTCATTTATTGCCTTTATGACCATGGTCAAGTCACTCTCTGGGCCTTTGTTTCCTTATCTATAAAATGGAGCATTTAGAATGGATAACTTCTAAGGTCTCTTTCAACTCCAGAACTTTGATCCTTTTTCTTAACACATTGCCTTGCACATAGTAACTGCTTATAAGCATAATGCTTGTTGAATTGTTGACTTTGTAGTTTGGGCAATAAAAAATAGACAAGGACTCAATATCTTAATCGTCTTACCATTTTAATAAAGTTCATACTGTATCAATAGGATTTTCTTGCTCATTTGTTTTGTGTTTTCCTTTATTTAAAAAAAAATTGGGGAGAAGTTAGATGGTTCTGGAATAGGAAGTTATTTTCTGTTCTTGAATATTTTTCTCATTTGTATGCAATATTTTTGAACATTGAGATAAAATGGCCCACATAGAAAGCTGTTCACAAATAGTGGGAGTATGGATTCTAATCCCCAGCTTTTCTACTGACTGCTTCAACCAGTTACTTAAGTGTCAATTTCCTCATCTGTGAAATTGAATGCATTGGACTTGATGACTTCTTCAGCTCTTTTGTGGATTTAAATTCTGGCATTCTACAGAGACAGGAGAAAAGATGAATATTTTCATAGAACAAATAATTTGAGCTCAATTTAACAGTTGTCTAAAACTGAGCCAGAATTCAGTTGGATCCAGTTTATATAACCTCATCAATATTTATTACTTTTATTGGGGAAAAATCATTATACATATTTAGAAATTGACAAGCTACTTGAAAGAGAAACCAGTGAAGACTTAAAATTCACATTTAAATAATTTGGTTTTGCTTTTTTGTATGTTCACTAGAATATTCTCGATATGACATTTGGTTCAGGAGGCCACTCCAGAGCCATTCTCCAGAAAGAAGTGGATATTACCTTATATGTTCTAGACAGAGATCCAACAGCTTATGCCATAGCTCAACAGCTTTCAGAATTATATCCGTAAGTATTGTGTTCTTTCTTTTATGTAGTTTAAGTATTTAATTTCTTCGGATATCCTCTGTTTTGGGTTCTGTTGTCCTTAATAATAGTGACAACTTTGCTCTCTCTCCTATTATATGCTCTCATTGTTTTCCCCACCGTAATTAATGCAGTTACCTGCAATATTGATACCACTTATATAATGTTTTCTGTGCTATTTTTCCTCTTACTGCCATCATAGATATGCAAATACAATAACTGGTTCTGGCCACGAAATCAACACATATACACATATATTTAATAAATTAATAGCAATTTGGCAAATGAATTTGTCTCTTAAAAAAAAGTAGGAACACTAATGTTTTCAGAGTCCAGGAATGTACTAGAATTCCCATGCTATTTAGCGGGGAGAAACAAGCACGAGAAAATACATATAAGTTCACCAGACCACATTTCTACTGTATGTACTTCAGAGTAATATCACTGCATATCATTATTTTTTTTCCCTAACATTCAGACTGACTTTCCTCTAAATAATCTAAATCAATGCCATCTTAGTAGTACATGTTGGAGTTGTGGAAAATTTTGTCCTTGATAAAAATGAGATGATAACAATTTTCTTTGGAAAAATGTAGATGGGGAGTAGATTAAATCAAAATTAAAAGTTATTTAAAAGGCATCGGCACAGAATAAAAAAGAGTTATGGAGGAAATTATGCTTGTCTCCAGATATTTCATGGGCCATATACATAAAAGATGGTAACCTTTTTCTCTAGAGTAGAACTAGAATATATAGGTAGATATTACATAGAAACTCAATAGAAGGAAAGACTTTTTTAAAGATGGAGCTGCTGAACAATGGAATGGACTACTTTGTGAAATGGTGTTTTAGTTCCTATGATGGGAAATGCTAGGCTGGATTACTATATGTTGGTTATATTCTAGAACTAGATTGGTTTGGAAATTGTAATAAATGATGAACTCCAAATTTCCTTCTAGATTTCAATTATATGAACCAAGTAGACATGTAATGAATGGTTGTTCAATTAGTGAATAATTTTTTGTATCAGGAATCACGTTGATGCAAATTCTAGGCTCATGGAACTTGAGATGTCTGAAGTTTATTTCTATACTTTTACCTAGGAATTTGAAGTTGTGCTAGCAGTTGTTATTATTTATAAATAAATTTAAAAAATTCAGTCTTTCTGAGATTATTCTTATCAACCTAGAATGCTAACTGTTCCATTTTCAAAAATATGTTGTGATTTTTTTTAAAGGTTTATAAAAAAATAACAAAATGCTTCTCTCCTTGCAAGGTTCCAAATTCTCTCACTTCATAGTTTTTTCCCAGCCATCTTCAGAGTTATTTGTGGAAACAATGAAATGCATCCTATCTCTTATTTCTTTGATTACTATTTCCCAGTTCTTTTGATCCATCTTATCTTTTATTCTTACCATTCTTTGGACTTGAACCTCACAGAACCTGGACTTCATTAGAGCTGGAAGGGACCTTAGAAACTCAAATAACATAGCCTACAATCTTCTCTCGCTCCCATCTCCTCCTTATTTTGCAAGTGAGGAAGCTCAGGCCCAAGAGTTTTAAGTGCCTTGTATAAAGTTGCCCACCTTATTAGTGGAAAGTCTTCTGTCTTCTGGGCTAGTATAATTTCCTTTACATCATGACATCTTCTCGACCAATAAAACTGTATTGAGCCATGTATTTTCTACTGGATTAGATGATATTTTCTCATACTATAAATGATTCAGTATTTCCATTTTCAGTTTGGGTTCACTGTTGGAGAACTCAGTTTCTTCCCACTTTTAATCAACATTCATTATATATCAATGTTACCAAAAAATTGATCTCATGGTGACTAAATCTCTGTTGATCATTTCTTCCTTGCTTATATAGGCCTGTCATATAACAACAGGTGCACAGTTTGTCACCTATAATCAAAGACCTTCTAGCTTGACATGACATGCTAGAGACTTGAACTGGCCCTGCCTTTTAAGTACCCGCTGTCTATTCCAATGTCTCCTCCAATCCAGGGATGGAGATTTTAATTGAATTTCTTATAATTATTTTATCAAAAAAGTAAGTGATGTGAAATCCTTTGAGAAATATCACGACATAATCTTCTGAAGTTTTTCTTTTTTTAACAGTACTTAGACTTTTCCTCTAAAAGGTAGTGTTTTGAACTTTCACAGAGAATCATAAACCAGCCATGTTAACAAAAGCTAATTAATTGGTGAGGCTGGAGTTTAAACTCATGCTTGACATTATAGGCAAGAACACATCAAATAATATATGTTGTCAGAAACCCACATAGTAATTTTCCTTTGGGGACAAGAGGAAACAAAATATAGATTAGAACCATAGGGAGTTAGGTTGATTTTTAATAATAAAAGAAAAAATATCAAATTGCTTGCCTTCTCGATGAGGGAGGAAGGGAGGAGAAAGAGGGAGGGAAAGAATTTGGAACTCAGAATCTGAAAAAAAATGTTTAAATTGTTTTTATATGTAATTGGGGAAAAATAAAATATTAAATTAAAAAAAGGAAAGAAAGAATTGAATTAAAATTTTGCATAAGTAAAAATGGATTAATAGAACTTGGAGACTTGTACAGCTCTACACACACACACAAATCATTCATAATGGCACATGTACAAGGGGCATATATGCATCTGTAAACTATAAGTGTGTGACATGAATTTGCTTCTCATTTTCTTGTGTCTTTTTGGGCTGTTATATGTAGTGTAGAATGTTTCTCAATTTTTTTTACTTAATTTATCACATCTACCCTTAAAGCTGTTGCATGTTGTTTTTGCCTGATCTGTTTTATACCCCATTTCATTGACCCAGGTACCTTAAAATTAAAATATACACATAATGAGGAAGAAAAAATGGAAATGATGAGGATTGTAAAAACTGTAGATTTTCCAAGAGTTCAAAGGCCACAGTTTGGAAAAGTGTGCTATTTATATATGTGACACAAGGATTTCTTTTACATTTCCATCAGAAAATGTTCTTTGCTGCCTCCTATTCTTTATGCTTCTCCCTAAAGTGGAAGTATTCACTGGTTTTGGAAGGCAAAGCAGGTCCTATTAGGCTGGAAGAGCTTCCGCCACGGGCCTGATGAGTCCCCTTTGTGTCTTTGGTGTGATGTTGTTTTTGTTGTGGTGGTAGTTTAGTTGTGTCTGACTCTTCATGACATCTTTTGGGATTTTCTTGGAAAAGATACTGGATTGGTTTGCCTTTTCCTTCTCTAGCTCATTTTAAAGATGAGAAAACTGAGGCAAACAGGGTTAAATGACTTCCCCAGGGTCATACAGCTAGTAAGTGTCTGAGGCTGGATTTGAACTAAGGTCTTCTTGACTGTAGGCCCAGCGAGCTATACACTGCACTGCCCAGCTGAGCATGAGGACACACTTTGTAATTTCTGGTTTCTTCACCTAGGTTCTTCATCAGGCAGGATCATGCATTTTTTGTTCCCCTACCTCCCATCTGCCCTCAGAAACTGTCTTACTCTGTTCTAGAGGAGCTGTGTGATCTGCTTTAGGGAGGCTGGGAGAGGGTCCATATTGACTCATTACAGATCCTGGTGGTAGTGAAGTAAGTGTTTTATTGCAGAACATCCAATTTAATCTCCATTTTAACAGCATTGGATGGAGGTAAGTGCTTTCTGGTTATACTCAGTTTGAGTATTTCCTGTTTCAGCAACTCTGCTTTGGAGAGAGATATGAACCAACTTTTACCACCCCAAGTTAAAAAGTATGCCATAAATCTTTATATATTCACACCATTCATGTATGTTGCCTCCCCCTTACCACTTCCCGCATTATTCAAGGAAATATGTGATTTTTTTTCATGTCTACCTTATTTCTCTCTTGACAAGCTGTATTGTGTCTAAAGCTTTGCTAGGAGTAGTCAAAGGGTTGTAATTCTCAAATAAGTGATAGAAATGCTTACCTGCTGCTCTGACAGAAACTTCAGGAATTTTACTTGTTGGGAAAATACACTTCCCTTTTCAACAGCTAGCTTCCAAATTTGCCTTTAGCATAGTTGGGAGACGGGGAAGGAAAGCAATTTATCCTAGTAATTTTCCAATACCCTCTCACCACCTTTTATTGTTAAATTGTCTGCTAAAAGACTGTGTGTGTGTGTATGTGTGTGTGTGTGTGTGTGTGTGTGTTGTGTGTAGGTAGTAGTACTGAGAAAATATATTATAGCAAACGTTTCTTCTTACTCAAAATTCAGATTTCTTGGTAAATATTCACACAATTTTCCTGTAAGATACACAGCTGCTGTAAATTTCATTAGCCATAGGCAGTCATTTCTGCTATGTGACATTAAAGTGGATGAATTTCTATAAATGTATCCAAATTAAAAAAAACAAATTGGAAACAACTAACCTGGGTCATTTTAACTATTGATAATGATCTTTTACCTTTTTGGCATCATGAAAATAAAAAAAGTGATATTATAGTTTTTTTTTCCATTTCAATATTATTAAATGCCACCTGAACCAAATGGCCATCAGACATTATTTAACTTGAGAAGGGAAATCAGTTAAATTGCTGATGTCTTGAGCATTTTGTTCCTTTTCTAGGGAAGAATTTTCTCCTCACCATCTTGTTAAAAGGTACTAAATTTGGAAAGCAATAGTATTAATAAGCTAAATTTGGAAAGCAATAGTTTTAAGATGTCTATTTTGTTGAGATTTCTTTTGTATAACTCTTTGATATGTTTTAATTTTTTTTGATTCATAAGTAAATTGGAGCTCATACCTGTACAATTTAAGAGGATTTTCAAAATCAGCTTGTAAGAGTCCCCCTTTTCCCAGGTATTAGTGCTCTGCCGAGCCATTCTAAAGTATGAAATAAATTGACCCTAATCTGTGCCATATACTAAGGTCTAGAATATAGACTAAACTCTTTGAGAAGATAAACAGTAATGTCAGTGAAAACTAATTCCTGTGCTACTCTTTTGGTTACAGGCTCCAAGTTCTCCAGAGTCTTAGA